GATTTTCCTCCCTGGTGAAGGCTGCACGTTTCATGCTAATTACCACGGGCAGGGGCTCTCTGCTGCTCATCAGCCACGCCACCCGGGGTGGGGGCTGGGGTCCCTGCCAGCCCCCAAATCTTGGCACTCCCTGATGCTGGTTTTGGGGAGGTGACCTCACCCAGCCAGGGGTGTGGGAGGGGGTGGAAGGAGGCCCCAGATTGGGGGTGGGGGGCCTGGCCCCCTCCCACTAGGCCCATGAGGTGAGGTGGTCCCACCGGCCTGCAGGGCCCCTGACAGCAGGGGCTGGTGCCCAGTGTCCCGCAGTGGACTTCTCCCAGGGTGATCGTCTTCCTTTCACCTGCAGTAAACACTAGGCTATATTTTCCCTTTCTAATAATTGAACTTATTTATTTTTAACCAAGATTAAACGTTCTCTGTCAGCTCAGGATATCCCACTGTGCTGTCAGGCCTTGTCAAGGCTCTCTCCCCTGCTGCCTCCGAGGGCAGCTCACAGGCAGGGACCTGGCCAGCGGCTAGGGTGAGGACAGCGGCAAGACCTCATTTGTCTGGGAAACTTGCATCCCGGAGAATCTGCTTTCATTATCACTGCTGTCACCATGGACCGATCATCATTGCCACCACCTTCACCACCTCATCCCTCATTGTCCCCTCCTCCATCACCTCCACCACCTCCACCATCACCATCAGCATCACCACTATCACCACCTCCACCTCCACCATCACCACCATCACCTCCACCATCACCATCACCTCCACCATCACCTCTATCATCACCATCACCTCCACCATCACTACCTCCATCATTGCCTCCACCATCACTACCTCCACCATCACCATCACCACCTCCACCTCCACCATCACCACCATCACCATCACCCCCACCATCACCACCTCCACCATCACCTCCGTCATCACCATCACCATCACCACCTCCACCATCACCATCACCTCTACCACCTCTACCATCACCACCTCCACCATCACCTCCACCATCACCATCACCATCACCTCTGCCACCTCCACCATCACCTCCACCATCACCACCTCCACCATCATCACTACCTCCTCCATCACTATCTCCACCACTACCTCCTCCACCATCACCATCACCTCCACCATCACCATCACCACCTCCACCATCACTACCTTCACCATCACCATCACCACCTCCACCATCATGGCTCCTCCTGGTCTGCTGGTCACAGGGCTGGAGTTGACCTGGGGAGAGCAGGGCTCTCGCTCAGCCACTATCCAGTCGACCTTGGTGCCAGGGCCTCAGAGATGTCGGCAGATGTGGGTGGGTGTGGACCCTGGGAGAGGGCCACACTTCTGGCCCGGTGTTCTGGGGCTCTAAGCGGGACTGGGGAAGGTTGGGTTATGCCCAGGGCCCAGAACACACATGTAGTAGGGGGTCCTCCCTGCCTCATCCAGGCGGCGGTAGGGGGGAACATATTGAGGGGTATTAAACCTTGCTTGTGTTTGGGAAACACTATTAACAATTAAAGATCTTAAATATTCGTGACACTCTTGGTGACCAGAAACTTAATATACGAGCAGATAATAATTACTTAATGATGAATCAGTCAGTTCAGTCGCTCAGTCGTGTCCAACTCTTTGCGACCCCATGAATTGCAGCACGCCAGGCCTCCCTGTCCATCAAAAACTCCAAGAGTTTACTCAAACTCATGCCCATCGAGTTGGTGATGCCATCCAGCCATCTCATCCTCTGTCGTCCCCTTATCCTCCTGCCCCCAGTCCCTCCCAGCATCACGGTCTTTTCCAACGAGTCAACTCGTCACATGAGGTAGCCAAAGTACTGGAGTTTCAGCTTCAGCGTCAGTCCTTCCAATGAACACCCAGGACTGATCTCCTTTAGGATGGACTGGTTGGATCTCCTTGCAGTCCAAGGGACTCTCAAGAGTCTTCTCCAACACAATAGCTCAAAAGCATCAATTTTTCGGCTCTCAGCTTTCTTCACAGTCCCAACTCTCACATCCATACATGACCACTGGAAAAACCATAGCCTTGACCAGACGGACATTTGTTGGCAAAGTAATGTCTCTGCTTTTTAATATGCTATCTAGGTTGGTCATAACTTTCCTTCCAAGGAGTAAGGGTCTTTTAATTTCATGGCTGAAGTTGCCATCTGCAGTGATTTTGGAGCCCCCAAAAATAAAGTCTGACACTGTTTCCACTGTTTCCCCATCTATTTCCCATGACGTGATGGGACCAGATGCCATGATCTTAGTTTTCTGAATGTTGAGAGCTTTAAGCCAACTTTTTCACTCTCCTCTTTCACTTTCATCAAGAGGCTTTTTAGTTCCTCTTCACTTTCTGCCATAAGGGTGGTGTCTTCTGCATATCTGAGGTTATTGATATTTCTCCTGGCAATCTTGATTCCAGCTTGTGCTTCCTTCAGGCCAGCATTTCTCCTGATGTACTCTGCATATAAGTTAAATAAGCAGGGTGACAATATACAGCCTTGACGTACTCCTTTTCCTATTTGGAACCAGTCTGTTGTTCCATGTCCAGTTCTAACTGTTGCTTCCTGATCTGCACACAGGTTTCTCAAGAGGCAGGTCAGGTGGTCTGGTATGCCCATCTCTTTCAGAATTTTCCACAATTTATTGTGATCCACACAGTCGAAGGCTTTGGCATAGTCAATAAAGAAGACATAGATGTTTTTCTGGAACTCTTGCTTTTTCAATGATCCAGTGGATATTGGCAATTTGATCTCTGGTTCCTCTGCCTTTTCTAAAACCAGCTTGAACATTTGGAAGTTCTCAGTTCACGTATTGCTGAAGCCTGGCTTGGAGAATTTTGAGCATTACTTTACTAGCGTCTGAGTTGAGTGTAATTGTGTGGTAGTTTGAGCATTCTTTGGGATTGCCTTTCTTAGGGATTGGAATGAAAACTGACCTTTTCCAGTCCTGTGGCCACCGCTGAGTTTTCCAAATTTGCTGGCATATTGAGTGCAGCACTTTCACAGCATCATCTTTCAGGATTTGAAATAATCAACTGGAATTCCATCACAGCCACTAGCTTAGTTCGTAGTGACGCTTTCTAAGGCCCACTTGACTTCACATTCCAGGATGTCTGGCTCTAGGTGAGTGATCACACCATTGTGATTATCTGGGTCGTGAAGATCTTTTTTGTACAGTTCTTCTGTGTATTCTTGCCACCTATTCTTTATTATCTTCTGCTTCTGTTAGGTCCGTACCATTTCTGTCCTTTATTGAGCCCATTTTTGCATGAAATATTCCCTTGGTGTCTCTAATTTTCTTGAAGCGATCTCTAGTCTTTCCCATTCTGTTGTTTTCCTCTATTTCTTTGCATTGGTCACTGAGGAAGTCTTTCTTATCTCTCCTGGCTTTTCTTTGGAACTCTGCATTCAAATGGGAGTAGCTTTCCTTTTCTCCTTTGCTTTTCGCTTCTCTTCGTTTCACAGCTATTTCTGCACTTAATAGTTTCCGAAGTGATTGTGGTAAAGAAAGAGTTAAATGAAAGCCCATCAGAATTGCCAGTGCTCTACACACCGTGGGAACCTCGGTGCTGGGGGCGGGGCAGTGGACAAGTCATCCTGGAACCACACACGGGTGTGGTTCTCTGGACCCTCCGGCTGCCCACTTCCTGGCCTGTGCCCTGGGCGTGGATGTTAGCCACACACAGAGGGTGAGGACCCCATGCTCTCCTGCAGAGAGTTGGGGGGGCTTCTTGCCCAGTCACTGGGCCAGGTGGGTGGAGCCTGTCTCCCTCCCTTGGGGGCTTATGAGGGGGCTGTCAGATTGGCTCAATGAGCCCAAGAATCTCCGCCTAGTACCTGTGGGTGTCCCAGGTCTCAGGGCTGGTAGACAGGGACATTCTCTGCCCCCATGGGCGGCCTCTGGGCCTCCGCCACCTCTGGGCCCTGCAAATACCCTTTCTGCCGTGAGACTGATGGTGCGCTTCCTGGATCAGGGCACCGGTTCTCGCTAAAGTGTGAGTGGTTGCTCAGTGCTGCCATAGCCCACCAGGCCTGCAGTCTCCAGGAGCCTTCACCCGAGGGCGAGGAGGAGGGCAGCTCCAGGCGATAGAGTCCTGGTGCTAGTCACCTGAGTCTCTGGACCCTGCCAGCCGTGGACAGCCTACCAGGAAGCCCACAGCCCTGGGGGGCCTGCTGCCCTTCACATGCCCCTCACATGCCATGTTTTCCGATCTTGGTTTCTGGCCCCACCTGGTGAGACTCCCAGCTGACGCTGCCATGCGGCCCCCTCACCCTGGCCTCAAGGCAGGCCCGCCTGAGCCACGCCCCTCCTCCGAGCCCTCAGGCACCTGGTCCCCGTCCGGAGCCAGTGGTTCCTACTCAGCTGGCCCCAAGGCGGTGGTGGGAGAGGGAGGCCCCTGGCCCTGCTCTGGGTGGGCGGATGGCCGCTCAGTCCTGCTCCTGTGGCTCTGCTGAGAGTTCACAGTTTTCAAAGCCCAAGCTAGGAGCAGGTGGAGAGACAGAAGACCGCAGCCCGCAGGCAGGGCTGGGCAGGGACCCCCATCGCTCAGCACAGACAGCTGGCTGCCGCGGCCGGGGGGAGGGGGGGCAGGTGCGTCCTTGCCTGGCTCCCCCCAACCCTGTCTTCTGCCGTGGGGGGCTCCACCTCCCTTCACCAATCTAGGGAGGATTTAGCTTAATTAAAGTGGTTGATTTGCATTCAATTGATGTAAGATATAGTCTTGCAATCCTTATCAGGAATTAAGTAAATCATCCTTGCTTAGGGCTCTGAAGGCTCTGGGTCTATCTAACCTGTTGGTCTATCAGCCCTGTCCCAAGGGCTCCCTGGATAGGCAAACTGAGGCCCTGAGAGGGTTGGGGCTGCCCAAGGCCCCGAAGGCAGGAGCTGGGCCCCTGGCCACTGCCCCACCCATGTCCCACTCACGGCCCAAGTTCTCAGGTCCAGGCTCTCCTGACCTTTGGCCCAGGGTCACCGCTCTGAGCGACCCCTGGCCAGCGCCCCATTGTTAGCCTGTCATGGTTCTGTCCGGAGGTGTCGGTGACGCTGAGACCTTTTTGGCTCCCCGGCTGCGGTCAGGGTCTGGGGCCGGGAGCTGCTGCCCGTGGCCGGCTGCACAGGTTCAGCAGGTAGGACCTGTGTCAGCCCGTCGGCGGCACTGGGCTCCCCAGGGCGCTGATGTGGACCGTCCTGGGGCTCTGCCCTGCGGCCCAGACACCCGTGGGGCCCTCGGTACCCAGGGCCCCCCCTGCAGCCTGGCAGACCCTTACTCTGAGAGCTTCCCCGATTGTGTTCAGGGACTCAGGGTGAGAGCTGATTCACTGGTCTAACGAGGCGTCCTCATTCATAATTCATTCCTGCTAAGGACCTTCCTGCCTCTGAGGCACTGAGTCTGTCAGTGGGCTGGCGGCTGGTGGGAGGCAGCTGGGGGCCCGGGGGCCCGGGGCGGGGTGGGGCGCTTCTGCCCTGAGGGGCTGGTGTGGAGCCCCGTGTCGGGTCTCCAGCTCCTGGTCTTGATAGGAGATGCTCCGGAGGGTGGGTGGGACCCAGCAGGGGACCCAGGTGAGGGGTCTGTGTGCTGCGGTCAGCAGCTGTGGGGTGTGGTCTGCGGCCAGGCTGGCCCAGGCCCTGTGGATGGTGGCAAACACAGAAGAAGAGGTTTATGGAGACAGAGACTTGTAGCTCATCTTCAGGGTGATCCCACAAGGTGATTCGGAGAAGTAATGGCGTCCCTTCCTGCAGGGTGGACCTGGGCCATGGAGAGGGGACGGACTTGCGCTGGGAGGGAGGCCCCAGCACTGGCCACAGCCCACCTCCAGGCTCTTTCCCAGGCTCATTCTGCAGACCAGGGCAGAGGACACGGCGGGCCCCGGGGAGACCAGGGCCCACGACGCCCCCCTCCCGGGCAGGCTCCCGCTGTTCCCTCTGCAGCCACGGACAGGCATTCTCTGTCGGGCATAGTCACAAAACTTCTAAGACTTAATTAAAATCAATCTCCGATTACTCAAATGCCATCGACTTGGGGCTCGACTGATGGGGAAAATACGGTCATCATTATGGGAAACGTCGATACGAGGGCATCCACCAACCCTCTCCACGCAGAGCTGACTGGGCCCTCCCACTCTCCAGCCCGGGTCCACCCGTTGCCGGCTCGGAAGCCCTGTCTTGCCTTCCCGGGACAGGCGGCCCTGCCGCTCCCTGGCTGGCATCCCCGTGGTGCTCACGGAAGCGGGGCCGCTGGGCAGGCTTGACAGTTTCTGAGACAGGTGCCTCCTGGGGTGGCTCCCCAGAAGTGGCGGTGGCCGTGGGGACCCTTGGCTGCGTCGTCTCACGGAGGGGTCCACGGCTCCCACCTGGTCAGCCCTGTGGCTTTGACGGGAACCGTCTCACTCAAGCAGGTTTGGGGGCCTGGAGCTCATCAGACGGCCACTGGCCCTGACCTGCTGGGACACCCGGGCCTCTGTGCCCTTTGGGTCAAACCTCCAGGTTCAGCCTCCCTGGGGGAGTGAGGACGGAGATCAGAGTGCATCCATAGATCCACGAAGACCAGGAGGGAGGAGGTGACCCTGTGCGGTGTGGGAAAGCCGTCAGTGACCCCTGGTCCTGTTCCTGGGGGCCAAGGACAGCCCCGGCCAGGCCTCAAGGGCAGCCACGGTGGAGAGGGACCCCGGGAGACAGCCAGGGTTCTGGGGAAGGGAGCCACCTGATCTGGTTTCTGTTTGTCCTTAGAGAAAAAAGTATTAGCCCTCAACTCTCCTGCCCTTAAAAATAAAAAGTTGAGTAGGTCGCTTCCCATACATGCAGCAAACACTACCCTGCTGAGACTGTCAACCAGGGAGGGGGTGAGGGGGCGGGAGGTGAGGGGCTGGGCAGAGGGTGAGGGGGCCTTGGCTGCCCAGGTCCCGTCTCTGTCCGCGGTCCTGGGCCCCTGTCCCCACGCCTGCACCCCTGTGTCCGCCAACGGTGAGAGGTAGCAGTGCTGAGCGCGGTCTGTGCCCAGGGCAGGGGTCAGGCTCCTCCAGGGTGGGCCCCAGGGCTGTGGGGCCTGGTGGGAGGGGCGAGAGGACCCACTGGCCTTCAGTGCGTGGCTCAGGCTGGCTAGGGTGGAGGACATGGGTCTGAGGGGTCGGGGGCTCAGGGTCCCTGCGCTGAGCCCTGCGCCCCGCGCACTGCCTGCAGCCTTAGCGGCTGGCCCAGCCTGCGTTGTGCTGACTCTGTTATTTTAATTAATGCCCAGCTTCCTGATGCCTAATTAAACTGGAATTGCTCCGTGTCTGCGTCCCGTTAGATACAAGTTAATGCGACCGTTGCAGTGGTCTTGAGATAAGGCTGGCATGTCCCCGGACAGGTCCGGACCACACCAGGAGGCTGGATGGATGGGTGGGTGACCACGCCCAGGAACCGCACCCCGCCTGGGCCCGGGAGCTGGCCCTTCACTGGCCTATGTGCTGGGGAGCCCAGCACAAGGGAGCTTGGCACACTTGGGCCCTGGGGCACCCGCCAGCTTCCCCCCTCCCGAGGGGAGTTGTTTTCTCCCTGCTGACACTGTCTGTTCTGATTGCCTGAGAAGTTCGTGCCCCTGTAAGAAGAACAGGAAACGCAGAAAAATTAGAAGAGAGAAATTGCAAAAACCGGTGCCCCTTTGCTGTCTTCGATTCCTGCAGCTGTCACTGGGACAAGGTCCTGGGGGTCGGGGTCCTGGGGGTGGGCAGTAGGCACAGAGGCCAATAGTGGGGAGCCCTGTACCCCAGGACCCAGCTATTCCAAGCAGGACCCCGGGCAGAGGATGGCAGGGTTGGGAGCCAGCTTAGGGCATGGGCTCCTGCCCTGATGGCCCACTGACCACTGCAGTCCTCACGGGCACTCTGCCAGGGGCCAAGGGGGCCCTGCTTGGTGGGCCCGTCATCCCCGAGACTTGGTTCCATTCCAGGAGGAGTTGGGTGGCGGAGGAGTGAACCAGTGGGAAGGCCACCTCATGGGCGCACGCTGCCTTGGGCCTGGGCTTCCACAATGGCCTGGAGGGGGGAGCGGGCAGCCCTGGCTGGAGGGCAGAGGTTGGGGTGGGGGCGGGGTGGGCCCCGCTGTGGGGCCAGAGCTGGTGTCCTGCCGGTGGCCATCACTGCCCACCCTCCACCCAGACACCAGGGCTCTGAGCTGCCCTGGGAGGGTCCTAGCCCTGAGCCTGAGGCCGGAGGAATGGCCCCCTTCCCTGGGGAAGGAAGCCCAACCCCCTGGCGGGTGGGGGAAAAATGGAAGGTGGCCAGCATGGACCCCAGATGTGTGTTCCGGGGGCCTGGCTACAGGGAAGGGCAGGGCCAGCCTGGGGCCAAAATGTGGCCCTAGAGCCTGTGGTCTCTGGGCCTGTCTGTCCCCGTGGCAGGTACCTGGGAACTTGTCTTTCCCCTGCCCTCCTTTCAAGCCTGAGGGGAGGTGACCAGTCCGTGGGCTGAGAGATGGTGCCCAGGGGCCTGACTTCCTGAGAAAGACCCAGCCGCACTGGCTGGAGGGCCCAAGGGCAGTGGGGCCCGGGTCTGACTCGGCTCGCTTTCTAATCCAAGTCCAGATCTGATCAGAGCCACTGGCACACAGGACGGTGACAGGGGTTCCTCGCACCAGCGGGCTCCTACTGACCCCACAAAGCCCAGCCCACAGGCCCCCGCGACCCCCCAGCGGGCCTTCCTCTGCTATAGCATCAGTACCTCGTGGTTTCGTGTTTAGGAGAAGGCTCGTGCAACGTTCGCTTGACCCGGTCTGTCTGCCTGGGAGGCCATGAGCTGCTCAGGACATGGGCCAGGCACACACGGGGCACATGGACCATAATGCAGAGCCTGCTGGTGAAGGTCCTGGGGGGTTGCTCAGCAAACCCCTGAGAGGGGCAGGGGCCAGCGGGGCGGGAGGGGGCGCCCGGCTCCCACCCTCCACCTCCCGCTGTTGCAAAAGCAGCCAAGGAGCAAACAGGCTGACATACTCCCCTCTGCGCGTTTTACAGCCCTCATCTGCCATGAACACTTGCTCCTGCTGGAGCGAAAGAGTCACAGGATGAACATGTTTGATGTTCAATGGTCCCATTCCCTCAGGGGACCCGTGCACTGCCCCGTGTACCCCCAGACCCCTGACCCCGCCTCAGCCCCCTCCCCACCCTGGGCCCCCCTACCCATGCCCTGGAGCACTCTGAGCACTGTACCCCCACTCCCATCCCCTCCCCAGATGCAGAGCCAGTGACCTCAGTGGTGGCTGCAGCCAGGGCTGGGGGACCCTGGCCCCGGGTGAGGGGCTGTGTGCCTGCCAGGACCCGGTCCCCAGGCTCAGGCACCCTGGGGCTCAGCTCCCCCTCCCAAAAAGAGGGTGAATGAGTAACTGGGTTGCAGAGAAAATTCTGGCCCAGTGATATGGGTACCTGGGATGGCGCTGGGGCAGGGCGGGCCCGGGCCAGCGCAGGCGGTTCATGAGTTGCGGCCTCACGTCCCTTCCTCATGGTGCTGGCAGAAGATGTTCTCTGATTAGTCCGCTGAATTATGAATTAGGTTCCGGGTCCCTGTGCAGCTGTTCCCGGCTTGTCATCCCCACCACTTTATTTCCCCATCTGCTTATAAAACCAGGAGCGCCGTCCTGCAATAAACACTTCAAACGCTTTTTTTAGGGGCTAATTAATCATGTTGCATTTCTCCGACACAGCAACAGGCTGGACCTGCCCCGAATTCCCAATGCAGGCAGTTCCCCGGGGCCTAGGGGGGCTGGGGTGTTGTGGGCCCAAGGCTCGCCACCCCCCCCACAGGCAGCCCCCACCCCTGCTCTGGCTCGGTTCTCCCCCCGCCCCCCTCCCTGGGCCACTGGGCGCTCCTTCCCTCAGCTCACTGTGACACATCCAAGGTCAAGTTCATGCTCCTCCACACGCCCCTGCCCCCGCCACTGGCAATGTTGACTCTGTGCCCCCCCTAACCCCCCCAGCATCCACCTCCCTCGGTGCCCACACTCACACCTCCCGCCCTCGTCCAAGCGGTCCCATGCCCTGAGCACCCCAGCCCTTGTCCACCCAGGCTCCTCCCACCCCTGAGATCCTGCTCCTATGTCTCCTCCCTTTCAGCAGCACCTCCTCCGCTTTGCACCCTGAGGCCCAGCGGAGAGCATGGAGGAGGAGGTTTAAAACAATGACATTAATAAGAAAACAAAATCACAATTAGCGAGTTACAAAACAGGGAGCTCCAGGGCAATTAAGAGACAACAGCCATTTGGGCTTCCCTAGTGGCTCACAGTAAAGAATTTGCCTGCGATGCAGAAGATCCAGGTTCGATCCCTGGGTCTGGAAGATCCCCTGAAGAAGGAAATGGCTACCCACTCCAGTATTCTTGGCTGGGAAATTCCATGGACAGAGAAGACTGATGGGCTACAGGCCATGAGCTGCTAAGAATCAGATACGACTGAGCGACTAACACTGGTACTAACCATTTGACTGTTCCCAATGCAAGGTTGGGGCTTTTGATCCAGTGAAGTCTCACCTGGGCTCTGTTTTGCCCCAGTAAGAGGTTTGCATGTTAAGCCCATGGCCAGACACCTGGGTCCCCATGCAACCCCCATGGGACCCTGGAGGTGTCTGTCTGCAGGTCAGTGGGGCTCCCATGGGCCATGCGGTCTTCATCTTCAGACCATTCCGGGGGTGGAGGCTCTGCTGTGTTCCCCAAGAGAAGGTCTTGTCGTTCAGAGCACAAGCTGTGGAGCTGGGCCTCCAGGTCCAGGGCTCGTGGGTGCCCCCCACCCCCACCGGTCACCTCATGTCATGTCTCGGGCACTGGGCGGGCTTTGCTCCTTGTCCCATCAGCCCAGGGCCTGGGTGCCCTGAAGGGTGGAGGATGCTCCAGCTGGCAGGGGGGTGGGGTGGTGCAGGGTGACTGAACTTGCCTGGGAGGGGTGGGCACGCGGAAACCTGGGGAGTGTGGCCACAGGGGCCTCACTGGGACATGTAAGCCCTTGCAGACGTGGGCTGCACACTAGCCCGTCTCGCTGCAGGTCCTCCGAGCGACCCTGACCCCATAATGGTGGGGGGGCTGGTTTGGGGGGTGAAGTGGGGGAGGGTGGGGGGGGTGGGGGGACAGAGAGGGGGCAACCTGGGAGACCACCCCCCAGGCACCTGGGGTCCTGCTGACCCCATTGCGGCCTGTGAGGACCCCCAGATGGGAGAGAGTCTCGTGTCCGCTGGGCTGGGCTCCACTCTGGACCCTCTGACAGGCTGTTAATCGTGACACCGCTGTTTAACTCCGGTGTCGCCCCCTGTCAGCCAGGCCCCGGGGCTGGGATTTATGTGGCTGGGCTATGTCCCGAGTTGGGGCTAGGAGAAGAGATCGCGCATCAGTCAGCCCCGCTGGCAGGTGCGGTGCCCCCCAGAGGGACTCCGCGGGGCGGGGCAGGGGCGCAGTCCCCCAGGAGGTACCGGGGGCAGCAGGCCTGGAGGAGCCCGCGCTCTGCACCTGGACTTTGAGGACGTGGAGGTGTCCTGGGCTCTGCTTACCCCACCCCCGGGAAGGGAGTTGTCCAAAAGGCAGGGGGGCCCGCCTGCTGAGGGTCCGCCTGACGGACGGAGCCCCTGGAGCGGGCGGGGCCCCAGTTCAGCTCCGCGCCCGCGGCCTGGAGAGTCTTTGGGCCTCGGCGTCAATCCCTGAGCTCCGGTGTGTTGAGGTGCCCAGGGTGGGGGACGTGAGACCGGCTGTGCAGACTCCCGGGCCAGTTACACCTGGGAGTGCAGAGGGGAGGGGGCGGCAAGGAGTAGGGACGAGGGGCGGGGCAGGGGCGGAGTAGAGGCGGGGCGAGGGGAGGGGTGGGGGCGGGGCAAGGGGAGGGGTGGGGGCGGGGCGAGGGGAGGACTGCGGCACCGGTCCAGGGGCGAGGGCAGGGCTTCCCAGAGGCTCAGCGTAAAGAACCTTTCCGCAAGACCTTAGCTCGGCCTGTGCTCTGGAGAGGCCCGGCTCAGCCGGTCTGTGCTCGCGGGCCCCACTTCCGAGCGGTGGGCCGTGAGCGTTGGTCCCCTCGGCTGCTCCCCACGGCCCCGCTGCCCCACCTCGTTCTCTCCACTCCGAGCCTCTGCCTCTCGCTTCTCTAGGTGACAAAGTCCTCCCTTCTTGAGCTTGCTTGTCCACCCCAGAGCCGGGTCTGCATCTGCCCGGCCCTCGGGCTGCGTGGGCTCGTCCAGGCACGTGGACGCTGCACCCGCGTGACCTGGCTGGGCTCGGGCCAGGATAAGTCCTGAGCACCTGGCAGTCCCTACCCTGGTCTGCCCGCCTGCCCCATGGCTGTGGACCGCCCTGTCTGAGGCGGTCAGGCAGCCCAGCGAGGTCCGGTGGCGGTGTCCCTCGGGTCCAGCCACTCAGAGAGACGCTGGGCTCCACCCCCGTGTCTGGCCCTGCCCTCCCCTGAGCAGACTCAAGGGTCCCCAGAGCAGTGCCTGGCTCCGAGCCCCAGGTGCAGGGCCTCGGGGGCTCAGGGTTGGGCACGAAGACAGGTCTGAGTCCCTGGCACAGAATCCCGCCTGGGGCGTCCGGTGCACAGGGGGACAGATGGCTTTCAGCAGGACCGGCTGCCCCCGGCTGGCATGGCACACAGCTTCCAGCAAACCCAGAGGGGAGATCCGGGGGTAGCAGGGTCCCGGGGAGACTTGGGCCAACAATGGGGGCTTGGGGAGCACGGGGGGGGGGGCGTGTGCCAGGAGTGCAGGGCCACATGAGCGTGCCCATTCCTTCCTGCGGTTGGTTCCCAGCAGGTCACAGGTCCTGTGGACCTGGCCGTGCTCACAAACCTGCCAACACTGCCTCTGGGAAGTGAGAGCTTCACTGCCTCCATGCCATCTCCCCTGAGGTGGGGCCCCCACAGGTGTGCCTGAGGCTGTTCGCAGCCTGGCCCTGCCTTCGCCTGGAGCATCCCCCGTGGGGCCCGTCACAAGTGGAAAGATGCAGCAGGGAACCTGGGGGTCTGGGGCTGGACCCGAGGGGTGAGAGTCCGCGTGGTTGCAGAAGGGCACTGCGAAGGCCCAGCTGGCTCCGGGTGTGGCAGCTCCATTGCACTCTGGGTCCACCTCCTACCTCACCAATCCAGGGAACACCTTGGAAATCGCACAGGGCACAGTGACAGGTTGCCAGTGTTTGGAGTGGCACACAGCGGCTGAGGCCAATGAGCCACTCAGGCAAGGGGTCTCCGTGGACTCAGGGCAGGAGCGGGGAGGGTCGGCCATAGTGCCGCCCCCTCAATGGTGCCCCTGGCTGCTGACACCAAGGACAGAGCCCACCACCCAGGAAGCGACTCCATGCAGGAGGAGGACATCTCTCTCCTCTTTTGGGCTCAGATAGAGGGGCTTCCATCAAGGTGCTGCTAAGGCCTGCAGGGAGTGCATGGCCAATGGCTGGAACTGGGTGGGGCCACCTTTGGACACAGACTCAAGGTGTTGAGAAGTCCTGCAGGGCATCCTTAACTGTTTAACCCGGAGTTCCCCCTTCCTTCCCGGTTCTGCCCCAGTCTGTGGCAGATGCTGCCAGGCGCGGCCTGCTATCTTCCCGCTCTGTCCTGGGCCTTGTGTGAGGGCTCGGGGTGAGGCCGGAGCCGCCCAGGACAGTGCTGGCTGTGTGTTTCCAATCCCCAGATGCCTCCTCTGAACTGGGGCCCACTAGACAGTGTTCACAGGAGATGCCCCATTAATGCCCACTGGATGAAGGAAGGGCCCTCTGACCCTCAGGTGGGGGCCCCCGTGCCGGGACCACTGTCCCCCCCAGCTCCGTGTGGAGCCAAGCTTCCCACCAGGGCTGCAGACCTGCGGGTCCGGGCCTCGTGGAGTTTCCTGACAGGTTTGTTTTCATTCTGTTTGTACGGACACCCTCTACTTGCCGCCTGCAAGGCTTGTTTTCCATTTCCAGTGGTGCTGTAAGATTTCTTTTCAAAATATAATCATTTAAGTGAAAAAAATCCATTTGAAGAAAACCCTCCAGTAAACAATAGTGAAGCAGGTGGGCGGATGCAGGATGGAGTGGAGTGAGCCTTGGTGATGGGCAGGGTGAGGCAGCTGGCGGTGTGGGGAGATGGGTGGGAGGGGCGGGGAGGGGGCGGGGAGAGGGCGGGGGAGGAGAGGGGAGGGGCGGGGAGGGGTGGGGAACCCCCTGCTGCCCCCTCATATGGGCCTCCTTGGCCACTGTGGAGGTGGAGCCCCGTTGGCTCCTGCACGAGAAAGTGGTCGTGGCCTTGCTTGTCCAGCCCTGGGCTCCCCCGGGTCTCATGTCTGCTTGCGCCCTCAGCTTGTGTCCAGGTGTGCTTGATATGTGCCTGTTAACCTTCCACACACATATTCATGGGAGGGCGTCTAGGAAAGGAGTATTTGGGGGGCTCTGGGATGCCCTGAGCTGCCAGGGGGCTGTTCCCGAAGCCCATAGCCCACACGGTTGGAGGGGCTGGCGTGAGGGGCTGCAGTGTATTCAGAGCAGAGGATCACTTGCATCCGGCCGC